AGACAGACAGACAGACAGACAGACAGACAGACAGACAGACAGACAGACAGACAGAGATATCAAGATTGGGGGGAAGGGGTAGAAACAGCGCGCGGGACGTTTGGGCGAGAACGTGTGTCGCCTGATGTTAGTGATTCAACATGAATGCACGAAGTGTCCTCGTGAGGGATAGGAAACGCGGGAGACTGGAACAGAGTGAGAAAGAAAGAGCACTCATTGTTCGTCCACTGTTCACTCATTGTCCCCCCACTGCTCTCCATGCATTATTGTGCAAATACAATCTGGAACAAGCATTGATTAATCCATTAATTGGCTGTGATGGAGTGTATTGATGTTTATGAATAATTCTGTGCACTTCCACGTCTGAACTGCCGCTTGTGTCTGAGCGCAGGAACATATTAATTGTACCTGTTTGTTTAGTTTTTGTTGTTGTTGTTGTTGTTATTGTTGGTTTGTTCTTCCTCGCATGACTTGAATGGGCGATTTTCAAAGCTGTACAGTTAAGAATATTATAATTATGTAAAGTTGAAATTGTACACCTTTAGAAGAAGAGATACTGCATAAAACTTTCAACCTCAGAAAAACGATGTACACTTTTTAAAGGGCAAAGAAAATTGGGACTAAAGACAACCCAAAAACCCCAAACGTTGACTTCACAACACAGAGGTCGTTTTTTTTCTGGCGGGGGGTTCACCTCCGCATTTTCTCCGCTCCTCTTTTTAAAGAAATAATATATTTACTGCTTTTCAGGATCAAACTCTCATAGTAGCACATTTATTGTGATCTGTGTTGTAAAGGTCAATGCATTGAAATTATTTATTCCCTTTTACACCCAGTCTCCCCTGCATACCCATTGCACCTTTTGATCTTTCATCTGCCCAAGAAACTAAGCACTCTAGACCCGGAAAAGTGTCCACACAGCATTATTTTCTGTCTCTATATTGATGACCCGCGGCTTTAGACCAGCGTCAGACCATCGATCTGAAATCGATTGCTCTCGTTGAATCATTTAAGCTTCCGATTCTACTGCGCGTTGCCTCGGGAGGAAAGGAAGGTCATCTGCTCTATCGTAAGCCCTTATATTCCCACTCCGGACTTGCGTATATTATCGTGATTTGCTGTTTTCTGGATTGATTTATCAGTACGTAACTGTACCCTGTAAGGGTTGCTGATCGGGGAAGGTGCTTTTAGGTGCGTATCGTTCCAGTTATTACTGCATTAGAACTGGTTCATTGTGTCTTTGAGGACGACTGTCAACAACTGCAGCCAGGAGTGGTACTGGTGGTGGCGATGATGGATGTGATCGTGATGGTGGCATTATTGCTGTTGCAGCCGATGCTGTCGTTTGTTTGCTGGTTGGTAGAGATGCAGGTCCGATGCTTCTATGGCTATCATTTCACTGCCGTCTCAGTGCCATTGCTATTGATATTTTTGTTGCTGGTTTTATTGTTTTTATTGTTGTCGCTGTTACATAAGGGGAAGTTTGTCATTCTTCTTACTTTTATCTTTATTTTTCTCTTTTATTCATTTATAAATTGGAACAATTATTTTGAACAAAACGCCACAATGAAGCAGATGTTAACGGACAACATTAGCAAGAAAAATTATCAGAATTCAAGAACAAACTTTTCCCCCTGACCAAAACTGAGTCATTTTCCCCTACAGTCCATATGAGTTATGTGAAAAAGAGAAAACGTAGCCTAGGGTTGATATTAGATTGGAGAAAACGATATGGAGACGGTGGAGAGAGAGAGAGAGAGAGAGAGAGAGAGAGAGAGAGAGAGAGAGA